GGAAATGTTAGTCTAGGCCAGCAAATGGGCTTGGAATTGGATGGTGATGATGTGGAGGAGTTGGTGGAAGAACACAACGAAGAACTGACCACCGAAGAACTCCTAGCCCTTCAACAGGAACAGCAAGCCAACGCAGCAGCGGATGACTCTGCAGTGGAGGAGGATGGTGGCAGCAGCACCAGCGAATGTCCCTTCTGCAGTAATTAAGGTGTGTCAGATGTGGGAAGAGATTCAAACAATTGTTGAAAAGACTCACCCAGAGAAAGCTGTAGTAGGCCGTTGTCTAAATCTTTTCAATGACAATGTGATGCCTTACTACAGAGAGAGCTTGCGAAGAAGGGAAAAGCAAGCTTCCATGGAGGAAATCGAGCAGTGAGCCTCAAAAAGGACCTAGTGGCACTCGGATAAAACGTCCCAGGGAGAGCACACCAGAAAGGTCCTCACTGCCTGATGTGATTATGGAAGGGGACTCCCCTTCCCCCCCCCCCCACACACACACACACACACACACATATATATATATATTTTTTATTTGTTTGTTTTACACACACACACACACACACACATGATTGTCATGCCCTTCAAGAAGACCTGGACAAAATAAGTATATGGAGCACCACCTGGCAAATGGAATTTAATGTTAATAAATGTCATGTTATGGAATGTGGAATAGGAGAACATAGACCCCATACAACCTATATATTATGTGAGAATCTTTAAAGAATTCTGATAAAGAAAGAGATCTAGGGGTGGTTCTAGATAGAAAACTATCACCTGAGGACCACATAAAGAATATTGTGCGAGGAGCCTATGCCACACTTTCTAACTCCAGAATTGCTTTTAAATACATGGATGGCGATATACTAAAGAAATTGTTCACGACTTTTGTTAGGCCAAAGCTAGAATATGCAGCAGTTGTGTGGTGCCCATATCTTAAGAAGCACATCAACAAACTGGAAAAGGTGCAAAGACATGCTACTAAGTGGCTCCCAGAACTGAAGGGCAAGAGCTACGAGGAGAGGTTAGAGGCATTAAATATGCTAAAACCAGGAGACAGAAGAAAAAGAAGTGATATGATCACTACGTACAAAATAGTAACAGGAATTGATAAAATCGATGGGGAAGATTTCCCGAGACCTGGAACTTCAAGAACAAGAGGTCATAGATTTAAACTAACTAAACAAAGATGCAGAAGAAATATCAGAAAATTCACTTTCGCAAACAGATTGGTAGATGGTTGGAACAAGTTAAGTGAGAAGGTGGTGGAGGCCAAGACCGTCAATAGTTTCAAAGTATCATATGACAAAGGTGCTGGGTAGACGGGACACTACACTTAGGTAATTACAGGAGGTAAGTCGCAATGGCCTCCCGCACTACAAGGAACAGGATGTCTGAGGCCAAAAAGGACCACCAAATTACAATAGGGTGTGACCAATCAAAGGCAGACCCACCACCAGGCAGGAAAAGAAAAAGGAGAATAAAATCCCCCAAGAGGACAACTCACCTAGACGGAACAGAGCCGGCTGCTATGAGAGGTGATAACTAGCTGCACAGTACCCTGCGCCCCAACCAGTGACGAAAACTATTCTCTACCCAGAGGCAAACGGGAGCACAAACACCCCCAGTTGACTAAGAGTGCTCAAGCACTGAGCAGCAAAAGACACAGCAGAGGTAGATCCCAAGGTGACTTGCGGAAGGTGGCCCCAATCCCCAAGGGCAGTACTTACAGGGCACCTAGGGAAGGTGACCCTAGGTGCATGCAGCCTAAACGGAGGGTTCAGGGGGTAACACCCACACCAGGTCGTCTCTAATAAGAACTGTTATTGTCACAGTGGAGGGCAGGCACTAGCAGAATAGGTAATTACCAGGAGAAAGCACAGTACTTGTGAAATTACTCCTGGCTCGCACACCACCAAGGACACAGCACCACACCACAAGGCACAGAGCTGGAGACAGGAAAACAGAAGCCAGAGACACACAGACGGTTGTCAATCACACCAGACGAAGAACTGAGGTGTTGGTAGCCGGCGTGAGGGTCTGGGGCTCCCCCTTCCAACCCGTGAGGGGGGGGAGGGCCGATGTGGTGACATCATGCTCGTTTTCATTTGGGAAGTTCTGTCCACTAGTTCGGCTTTCAGTAGCAATATTTTAACCAGAAATAGTGGTTTGTTTTAGTCACTTACCTTTCTGGGGGCCTGACCCAGTTGATGGCAGACAAAGAATGCTTCCAACCACACAGGGAAGTTTCTATAGGCCATTGCTCCTCATGCCTCTCTGAGGGGGCCCAGGTGCTGGCTCGTGGTCCCTGGTAAGCCTAGAACGACATGCACATTGACCGATGTCTAATATATCCATATCAGCCTGGATAGCTCAGGGGAGCCATAGGGGGCTTCCCCCCCTTCCCCAGAAAGAAACAATAATGATGCTATAATTTAAATAAAGGATGTAAATAGATTATTGGATATATCAAGCTAAGTCATACCTGAGGTAAGCCTCTCTTCTTAGCTCTCATGGAGACCTTAGCTGGGTCTGCTTGTGCCATACGCCCATACTCCTCACAATGCTCCTTATCTTCTGCCCAAATATAACCTGTAGAATTGATTACCAAACTTAGTTTCCATCTCTGAATTCCTATAATAAACATTTACGCTTAAGGAAACTCAACAAACAAGCGACATTTTTACTGGAGATGAAGGAGGGATGTATCCCCAGCCCTTGTGCCAGGTATATTTCACAATACTCTATGTACAAACAGTATTATAAACACACAGAAACCACACTAACGTGATGTATCAATGAGAAAATCCATAGGAAAATCCTCACAGCTTCGAATCCTCATTACGGCTCCTATGGATTTTATCAACGGCTGTATTATTAATATTGTTTTAAATAGCAAATGCCGCAGCCCTCATCTCGTGTACAAATTGGCACAAATAAAAATACAGGAATGGATATGAAGAGCATAGGTGGCTTGTGTGTTGGGATGATTGGGTGTAGCTGTGTGGGTGGTTAAACAAAAAGTTTGGGGGGGAGGTCCGCTGGTCGGTGTGGGTGAGAGGTTGGGGGAGGTCCGCTGGTCAGTGTGGCTGAGAGTTTGAGGGGAGGTTCGCTGGTCGGTGAGGCTGAGAGTTTGAGGGGAGGTTGGCTGGTCAGGTGTGGGTGTGAGAGGTTTGGGGGAGGTTGGGTGGTCAGGTGTGGGTGAGAGGTTGGGGGAGGTTGGCTGGTCAGGTGTGGGCGAGACGTTGGGGGAGGTTGGCTGGTCAGGTGTGGATGATTCATCCTGCTCCTGGCTCCCAAGCATCTGAGGGTTTCGGAGTCGGGGCAGGGTTTTCTTGGCAAGACTCGGGTGGTTTTTCGGGATGCGCCAATACGCAATAAAGGATGGAGCCAGAGTCGATTGACCGTCGCCAACACAACACGAAGTTAACCCCCGCCACTCAAGCGGGCAGGTCCAACAGAATGCATGCGTAGCCCCCAATGAAAAGAAAGGGCAGTCAGCGAGCCGGCACCTCGTAATGCACCCAGTAAGGAAAAGAGGAGCCAAACTCAAAAGAAGAAGGATCCATTACCAAAGTGTAATCCGAGACTCGCAGGAGGTAAGCCTCGGCAGGAGAAACGGGCTCGAGTGCCTCTGCCGCCGAACCGGAATGAGCAGTCCCCGAAACCACCCGAGTCTTGCCAAGAAAACCCTGCCCCGACTCCGAAACCCTCAGATGCTTGGGAGCCAGGAGCAGGATGAAACACAGCAGGGAAAGGACAAGGGGGCACGAACAAAACCAAAGTTGAGGCGAGTAACACCCCAAGTCTGGGTTTCAATAACCAAAGCAGGGCAGCTGCAGGGCATCCGGAAAGGCAACCAACCTAACTCATTACAACAACCTAAAATCGTGCATACAACGCTGAAGATGCCTGCACCCAAATATCAACATCAGTGGACTGGGTGAATTAGAGTACAAGCCAGAAATACCTCTCTGAATCCAGGTCAAAGGTGTCATTGACCCCACAGGCAGCATGACGAAGACAAAGACTGTGAGTGTCCCCTTGAGACAAGGGGAGAGAGCAACCTTCAAACTCGCATAAAGTGAGGTGGGACTCTGAGGACTCCTCCATCAGACCAATGAGCCTCAATGGGGGGTTCCCAGGGCCCTTAGGCTGGCTGCTAAGGGAAGCCCAGGCAAGGTACTATTTTTTTTTTTTTATTTTTTTTTTTTTGAGATATATACAAGAGTTGTTACATTCTTGTACAGCCACTAGTACGCGTAGCGTTTCGGGCAGGTCCCTGGAATACGACCCCCTACCGCGAAGAATCGTTTTTTCATCCAAGTACACATTTTACTGTTGCGTTAAACAGAGGCTACAGTTAAGGAATTGCGCCCAGTAAATCCTCCCCGGCCAGGATACGAACCCATGACATAGCGCTCGCGGAACGCCAGGCGAGTGTCTTACCACTACACCACGGAGACTGGTACTACTAACCAGTTATCCCAGAGCTACCAAGCAAGCAAGCAAACTAAAAGCTGAACCCTTGCAATGTGTGCAATCACAGGGACCTAGCGGAAGGCCACCAAAATCATACAAGTGGTCCTACAGCCACACCAGACAAAACAAAAAAGGAAAAACCCTGCAAAAGTACATCTCCAGGGAAACAGAATCGGCCGCTCTGCATATATCAGACAGCTGCACAGAGCCATGCGCCCCAGCCAGCAACAATACTACCTCCTACCCAAGGCCAAACAGGAGTAAGAATCACCCCAGCTGAACCCTAAGGGCGGGCAATCACCAAGTAGTCACAGAACCACGTGGAGGTAACGTCTCACGAACGGCTCATGGAAGTTAACCCTAAGCCGCAAGGGCAGTACTTACAGGGCATTAGGGAAGGTGGCCCTAGGTGCATACAGCCCCAGTACTCTTTTGTTACTCCTGGCTCAAACACCACCAACAAAGAACAACAACACTGCTCAAAAAATGGAGCCAGAGTCAATTGACTGTCGCCAACACAACAGCCTCATGAACTGGGGTCGAGTAGCTGGTGCGGGAGGTCTGGGATCCTCCCTTCCCCCTCTTGCGGAGCAACCTGTTCTCGCAAATTCGTAAAATCAATATCGACTTATTAACTACGTGCATAGGTGATATACTAAACATAATAGATACCCTTAAAAAGCTTCATAGAAAACACCGACCTTACCTAACCTTGTTAGTATCTTAAGATAAGCATCTTATAGCTTCGTAATTACAATTGTTACTTAACCTATTTTAGGTATAGGTCAAGTAATAATTGTAATTACGAAGCAATAAGATGCTTATCTTAAGATACTAACAAGGTTAGGTAAGGTCGGTGTTTTCTATGAAGCTTTTTAAGGGTATCTATTATGATTAGTATATCACCTATGCACGTAGTTAATAAGTCAATATTGACTTTACGAATTTGCGAGAACGGGTTGTACGGAGGGGAAGGGGAGACGCTGGGCAGACAGCGGCGCGGCAGCTGTGGTGACGTAATGCTTGTTTGCTTGTTTTCGATTGGGGAGTTCTATTTGCTAGTTCAGCTTTCGGTTTGCAATTTTTAATCCGCCGTAATTTGTTTTGGAATTTCTACCTTTCTGGATGCCTGACCTGATAGATGGCAGACAGACTGCTTCCAATTACATGGGGGTGTTTATAGGCCATTGCTCCTCGTGCTTCATCTGAGGGGGCCAGATTTTGGCGCTGGTCCCTGGTAGGCCTAGAACTCCAGCGATTGACTGTTGCTACAGTCTAATTTATGCACATCAGCCTGGTATAGCTCCGGGGAGCCAAAGGGGCTCTCCGCAGAAAACAAATTTAAATATTCCTAGGCCTAGTATAGCATACACATGTACTATATTAGACCTCAGATCATGTATTAGGCCTAGGAAGGATAGGTTAGCTTAGTTTAATTTAACCCAGCCTAGGTTGTGGGGGTGGTTCTCTTCTGTTACCCTGATGTTTCACAGTGAACGCTAGTTGTCAGTTTGTCTGCAGCAGACGGGTTATCGGCCTAGCTGGCCCCAGTGCCTGGGCTTCCTGTAGGGATAACGTACCCTACGGGCCCTGGAAATCCACGGTGGGCTCGGGGGTAACATGGATGTGTCTTCCGAGTCCCGTCTCACCTTATGCGATGCCGAGGGTTGTTTGTTGCCTCTGCCTCGTGGTGACGATCATCCATCCTGCCTCCGTCATGCTGCCTGTTGGTTCGGTGACACACACGACCAAGTCTTGCAGGACTTGTTCCCAGCTTGTTATTCACTTTCTCCATTCCTCGTCTGAGGATTTTGGAGTCAGGCAGCGGCTTGGTTGCATCCTAAGTATTCTGTGTTGCAACGGGCCAGGTTGGTTGCCCAGTTGGAAGCCCTGGAGCTACCCCATTTGAGTTTTTTGGAACCAGGAACTAGGGCCTTTGTTACTTCAACCTTTGTTCTGTCCGTGCCCTTGCTTCCTTCCCAGGTGGGTGTGGTTCGCCCTGCTCCTCCCCCTCCCCCTGCTTCTGACTCCCAAGCATTGGAGGGTTTTGGGGCCGGGGCAGGGTTAAGGATGAGGGCCTTAGATGAAATTAGGGTGGCTTTGGGGGTTGCCCCTTCTGACTCGGGGACGGAGGTCGAGTCCTATTTTCCCTCCAAGGCCTCTGAGTCGACCAAGCAGGCTCCTCTCCCTTTGAAGCTTTTCCCCTAGGACTCGGCCTGTTATTCAAGGGTGGTGGACATGGATATGGGCTCTGCCCCAGGGCCTGTGTCAGGGGTTTCCAAGATGCCAGGGTAGCCTGCTTGGGCTCTTTTTTTTATCCTGCCTAGGCCCTTGTGCCTTTTAGGCAAGATTTTTCCGTGGAAAGCCGGGGATTTTCCGTACCCTCCTTCCCCTTCTGCTTTGCTTTTAACGCATATGCTGGTGTGATTGGCATCAGTCAAAAATTGACTGCATTTTTGGCTGGGATGTTTTGCAGCAGTTTCGTAGTTTGTTTTGGCGGCCATTTTGCCTCCTGGGGGCGCTTCCTTGCACGGCTGCTTGGCGGCGCTGCACGTCTTGTTTACATTTGGCAGCTGGGCGTTTGCAATTGCTTTGGGGGCATTTTTCACTTCTGTCTTGTGCTTTTTTTCTCCTTGGTGTCTATGTTGTTCCCTTTAAAGTGACATATCTCTGTTTGGGTTATGTCTGCTCTGATTAGGGGCACAGAGATCTGTGGATTGTTCCGAGCTCTTGCATCCTTGCCGAGGTGGTGTTAGTTGTCAAGGCGAGTTCGTGCTTCTCTCACTGTGCTCATCTTGTTGTGCTTGCGGGGGTCGTGCTTTGGCTCTTCGGGCCCGCCTCCTCCCAGTGTTTTTCCTGAGGTTCCCATTTGTGGGTTTTTGGTGCTCCTGTGGTTCTCCGTTTGTAGCCTTCACCTCGGCTCTGCCTCCTGCATTCCCTTCCTTCCTCCTCTGCCTCTGGGCAAGTTCATTTTCTTGTTTCTGTGGCTCCTTTGGGTGCTTGCTTACCCCAGTGTCCCTTTCTTAGATGTTCTGCTTGTTTTGGGTACGTCCATTTTTTCCCTACCCTGTATTGTTTGTATTGGTACAAATGCATTTCTTTTATCTTTTATTCTGGATGTTTGGGTTCTTGGGGCTCTTTTATACCCCCTTTGGTACGTGTTGTTTGCTTTTGGTCCATCCTTCTTATGGATGTGTATCCTGTTGTGCATTTTCCCTGGGTCTGTCTGTGGTTACTCTTCAGCTGCAGATTCGCATTCCTTGTCTTGTTTCTTATCTTCAAGGCATCCTACTCTGTATAGTTTCCTTGGGGATTTTGGGTGAAGGCCTTGTCTCACACTCTTATCAGTTTCCTGACTGATTCTGGGGTAGTTTTCTTTATATTCCTCTGAGCACCGGTTTTGGGCCCGGTGACCTTGCCCTGTATGCTCTTCCAGCTCCAAAGCCTTCAACCCTCGGTATCTTGTCCGTCTTATGGCCGTTTAGCCAACTTTTTTTCTTCCTTTTCTTTTTTAAATCAAGGTATTGTGACTTACCCTTCCGTATTCTATTACTTTTATGGGCACCTCTTGATACTTTTCATCCCATAGTCATTTGGTTTGGGATTGTCTTTTGGATGCATTACTCTTATGGGCTTTCGCCTTGGAGTCGGGTTGGGGAGCTTCATGCTCTTTTGCGCAAGGGTTCCTACTCATATGGTTTTGGGGGACGTTTTGTTCTTCTGCAGCCCTCACCTTTTCTGGCGAAGAATGTGACGGATGGTTTTCGGAGGGGTCCCTGGGTTGTTGATGCTTGGTTAGGCTGGGGGTGCATCATGTTTTCAATCCAGTCGCAGCTTTACGTCACTACCTGCGTGCCTCTGGTTCAGCGATGGTAGGACACGCTCCGAGTTGCTCCGGTTACTTGTTCTATTGATCGTGTCTCTCAGATTGTCCGCAGGGTTCTCAAGACTAGCCAGCCTGCGGTCTACCCTCCTGCCCATGTTGTAAGGACATATGCTGTTCTTGTGGCTGTCTTGGTATTATGTCTTGGGTCGTCGACATTCGGGCATGGAGATTTTGGTTGTCGAACAGCGTCCAGGCCACCAGATATCTTGTCGACGTTCTGGGCCCTCCATGGCCTTGTGTTGCCTTGGGGTGTCTGTCGCGGCCTGTTGTTTCATCTTTGTCGTGCTGCAGTCTCCCGGATTAGTTCCTGTTTTTACTTATCTGTCGGTAGTTAGCTTCAGGAGGCCGACGGGGATCCTCACAGAAAACCAGTGTTGAATGTAATGAAATGCCATTTCCTGGGCGAGCCCCAGAGGCTTCCCGACACCCTCCCTTCCTCCAGTCAGTGGTTTTTTATCACTCTACGAACTGGGGGTGGTGTGGCCGAATCGCCTGAGCAGCTCATCCCACTGACAAGAGGGTGCGATAGTGGGATGACGATTTGCTTGTTTCATGTTTTTTGGGGGGCAGTTCTTTGACTCTGTTCGGATGTAGGCTGCACTTTTCATCAGTTCGAGGTTTGTATCGTCTTGCCTACCTTTCTGGTGGTTTTCCCGGTCACTGGCAGACACAATAAGCTCTAATGCAGAGTGCTCATACTGGCCATTGCTTCCTGAGTATCTCTGAGGGGACCAGGTTCTGGCACTGGTCTCCGGTAGGCACTCGAACCCCAAGGACTGATGGACCCAAACTAATATGGCACTTGTCAGTTTGATAGCTTCAGGGAGCCTTTGGGGCTCACCCTGAAAATTATGTTTCATTACATTAAACGGTGTTTTTATCGTTTGATGTACTGTACTAATGCATGATTGTAACATTAAACTAAATGAAGCAAATCATGCTTCAAAATGCATTAAAAAATAACTAATTATTTTTTTTAAACATGCACAAATTTGTCTATAACTTGCACTAATAAATACCATAAAAGTTGTATAACAAAAATTATTAGATGCAATGGATGGGGTGTCCAAAACTTATTACAGTATATTTATGCAGAACTTCACTACATTATATCATTTAAATAAATAAACATTTCCAGGAATTCCTGTTAACTAACATACACTTATAGCATAAATAACAATTATAGGATTTAAAAGCTGTTTTCAGTATACTTGGTGCTTTATAATTGTTCACATTTGGAACATACCTTCTCTGAGTGACCAATCCATACCCATCTCGAGGGCTTCCTCTAAATCGCGTGCAGTCATGGGAATAATACCCTTTGAACCAACTCCTACTGGGATGTGGTCAAACATAGACTGCGCTAACGGCTCCTGTCAAAATGATATGGAAATGAGAAATACAACATTTTTGTGGAAGCTTTTGTATGTGTGTATGTGCAATTACCTAACTGTAGTTAAAGGATAAGAGCTACACTTGAGGTGTCCCATCTACCCAACACTCTTTGTCATATAACGCTTTGAAACTACTGACAGTTTTGGCCTCCACCACCTTCTCACTTAACTTGATCCAACCGTCTACCACTCTGTTTGCGCAAGTGAATTTTCTTATATTTCTTCGGCATCATTGTTTAGTTAGTTTAAATATATGACCTCTTGTTCTTAAAGTTCCAGGTCTCGGGAAATCTTCCCTATCAATTTTATCAATTCCTGTTACTATTTTGTATGCAGTGATCATATCACCTCTTTTCCTTCTGTCTTCTAGTTTTGGCATATTTAATGCCTCAAGCCGCCTCTTGTAGCTCTTGTCCTTCAGTTCTGGGAGCCACTTAGTGGCATGTCTTTGCACCTTTTCGGTTTGTTGATGTGCTGCTTTAGATATGGGCACCAGACAACCGCTGCATATTCCAGCTTTGGTCTAACAAAAGTCTGAATGCAGGAGGAACACATCAAGGAACTGGTAAAGGATAATGAGGCATGGAAAGTGAAGAGTAGGGAATTTGAAGAAATAAACAAGAAAATAGACTGTATGGTGAACAACTCCAAGGGAGCCTGAGGGCTAACATGGAGTTAGGCAAGGAGATGCAACGAGAAACATCATTGGCAACTCAAATAGAGGAGGCTAATGAAGAACTAGAAAAGTATAAAGAAGAAATAAAGAAACATATGTGCAAGTTGTAAAAGAGAAAAAGATGATTATGGAAGTGTGTTTGGAAGTCAAAACCAGAAATGACAAACAAGAAGCGGATCTTAGGCAAGCAATTAGGAAAGAACTGGTTACCAACAGTAAACTGGTACAAAACACTGCAGATAGAAGTAAGTCCATAATAATTTTTGGATGTTTAGAGAATGAAATTTCCTCTACGGTGGACCGAGCAGCAGAAGAGATGAAAATCATAGAAAAAATAGTAGGATTAGGAGAAGGCCTAAATTCAAAGGAGCATGTTAGTGATTTTAGGTGGATAGGAAAATATGAGAAATACAAGAACCACCCCCTTAAGAGTGACGTTTAATGGAGTGAAATATATGACAGAAGTGCTTCGGAATACCAGAAAACTGCAATGTGACGAAGATGACAAACTTTGATCAGTAAGACAAGACCGCTCAAAGGAGGACAGAGAAAAGCTGAAAATGAACCTCATTGAAGCAAAACGTCTAACTGGGGATAGAAATGAAGAAGAAAAATTTTTTTTCTACAAAGTGTCAGGGACTGGAAAGCTTGTGAAATGGTACATAAAGACAAAGCAATAAATTCATTAAAGGAAAGGGAACATGTTCCTGAAAATAGTATACACCAACATAGATGGAGTGAGATCGAAAATATTGGAGTTGAAGGATATAATCAAGCTCAAAGTCTTGGATATTGTCACATTAACAGAGATGAAACTTGAAAATATTTTAAATGAAGTCGTATTCCCAAAGGGCTACTCAGTTTGGAGACGTGACAGAAAAACTAGGAAGGGAGGAGGAGTGGCTATGCTGGTGAAAGAACACCTGAAGGTAAGAGTGTTAATAACTGAAAACCCTCGTGATATTGACATAATGGCATTGCAGTTCTGGAACCAAGATGATAAGCTGATAATTTTAAATGCCTACAGCCCACTAGCAAGCAACATGTGGACAAAGGAAGAACTGAATGACAAATGAGAGGGCTTCATAATGGTCATGAGAGAGATTATGGTAAAAGCTGACAAAGATAAATCCCGATTGTTGGTACTGAGGGACTTCAATTTTAAGGCAATAGACTGGGAGGCCTACGAGGCAAGAACAGAGGACATTTGGACAAGCAGATTTGTAAACCTCATCTTGGAGACATTCATGTATCAACAAGTCAAGGAGGCCACAAGAATGAGGGAAGGGGATGTTCCGGCAATACTGGATCTATTATTCACCAGGAAAGAAGAGGTATTTGACATCCAGTACCTTCTTCCCTTGGGAAAAGAGTGATCACGTCCTCTTGGACATTAAATACGCTTTGCAATAAATTCTAGTAGAGAATGGGGACACTGAAACAGTTGTTAAACTCGATTTCAAGAGAGGACGCCATGGGGAACTTAGAAATTTTTTTCATGGGTATAATTGGACAGACTTGTTGCTAGGTAAGGAAGTAAATGAGATGTATGCTGTATTTTGAGAACAGTATAGCAGACATGTAAATCAGATCCAGGCCTTTTCTATAATTCATTAAAAGCAAGCTGCAGGTAAAGGATAATATTCAGAGGTTGATAATGGGGGACATACACAGAAGATGAAAAGGAAATATGTGAAACATTAAACAAAAAGTTCCAAAGTGTGTTTGTACAAAATGAGATCTTGAGGGAACCAGACACAATAAGAATTCCAGAGGACAACATAGGTGTCTAGAGATGAAGTGAAACAAATGCTCTTGGAGCTAAGTAAGAACAAAGCAGTTGGCCCAAATGGAGTTTCACCATGGGTTCTGAGAGAATGTGCAGTTGAGCTCAGCATACCACTTTGGCTGATTTTTCAGACATCCCTGTGTACAGGAGTTGTAGCAGATGTGTGGAAACAGGCTAACGTAGTTCCAATCTACAAAAGTGGAAGCAGGGAAGACCCCCTCAATTTTAGACCGGTATCATTGATAAGTGTAATAGTTAAAATATTGGAAAATATAATAAAAACTAAATGGGTAGAACACCTGGAGAGAAATAATATCAGACAGACAGTATGGTTTTCGATCTGGAAGATCCTGTGTATCGAATTTACTCAGTTTCTATGATAGGGCCACAGATTTTACAGGAAAGAGATGGTTGGGTTGACTGCATATATCTGGACCTAAAAAAGGCTTTCGACAGAGTTCCACATTAGAGGTTGTTCTGGAAACTGGAAAATATTGGAGGAGTGACAGGTAAGCTTCTAACATGGATAATAAAATTTCTGACTGATAGAAAAATGAGGGCAGTAATCAGAGGCATTGTATCGGACTGGAGAAATGTCACAAGTGGAGTACCACAGGGTTCAGTTCTTGCACAGGTGATGTTCACTGTCTACATAAATGATCTACCAGTTGGAATACAGAATTATATGAACATGTTTACTGATGATGCTAAGATAATAAGAAGGATATGAAACTTGGATGATTGTCATGCCCTTCAAGAAGACCTGGACAAAAATAAGTATATGGAGCACCACGTGGCAAATGGAATTTTATGTGAATAAATGCCATGTTATGGAATATGGAATAGGTGAACAAAGACCCCATGCAACCTATAAATTATGTGAGAAATCCTTAAAGAGTTCTGATAAAGAAAGACATCTAGGGGTGGTTCTAGATAGTGCGGCGACACTGAAATGTGTATACTCGTTTCAGTTTTCTCACCTTAATTCTCGTGCTATGTCGTTCGTTTTGGCATCATTGAGTTCGCAGTTAAATTCCCTGCAGGTGTATATGCATATAATGTCCAAAAGCCATGCGTGTCTCACAACAGCAAAGCCTAAATTCGGCAAAAGTTACCTGTGGCGCACAAAATCAGTAAAATGTGTATACAGTATTCATTTCAGTTTTCTCACCTTAATTCCCGTGCTTAATCATCATATCGTATCATCATATCGCATCATCATATCGCATCATCATATCGCATCATCATATCGTATCATCATATCGTATCATCATATCGTATCATCGTATCATATCGTATCATCGTATCATCGTATCATATCGTATCATCATATCGTATCATCATATCGCATCATCATATCATTCGAGTTCGCAATTAAATTTCCTGCAGGTATATATGCATATAATGTCCAAAAGCCTGACGAGACTCCCAGCAACAAAGCCTAAAGTTACCCATGAACGAGCACCAATTTGCACACCCCAACCTAATGTGTGTACTCGTTCAGTTTGATGACATCAATTTTCGTGTTACGTCGCTCGTTTTGGTATCAAATTGTTTGCAATAAAAAGGTGCATATTTTAAAATTAATCTTAGAATAATAGAGCAATAAATAGAATTTTAACAAATATTATAATTTTGGACGCTCATCATCACAAAATTATTTATATCTTTCATCAAATTGTTCACAATCTAAAGGCATGCATTTTAAAACTAGTCGCATAATATAATAATAGCACAATAAATAGAATTTTAACAAATATTTTAAAGTTTTGACCAAAAACGTACAGCTGTATTTATAATCTTTCAAGTGTTCTGGCATCAAGTTTCGTGTTACATCTTTCACTTTGGTATCAAATTGTGCGCACTCTAAAGGCACTCATTTTGAAACTATCCCCAAGTCTATCGGATAAAAATTGAATTTTATACAAATATTTTTTTGTGATGGACGTGAGCACAGTCCACTACTAGGACTCGAGAGAAAAAAAAGTGGACGCGAGCAGTGTCCAAAGTGGGGGATAGTGTTAATATGATTGAACAAAAATAAGCCATCAGTTAGAACAAAAAAGATACAAAATATATAATCCTCAAATTAATTTTTAAATACATTTTCCATTTGTAACCAAGACTAACTTACTAGCAAGTCTTATAACATACAGTATAATATTTTATTACCTTGATGGGATTAACATCAGCTTCAGTAAGGTTCGTACGCAACAGGCGGACTCCACAATTTATATCAAATCCAACACCACCAGGAGAGACAACTGATTTTGGATCATCCATGTCAAAAGCTGCCATATTACCTGTTAAAAAAAAAAAAAAAAAATATAGTGTTGAATGTAATGAAACGCCATTTTCTGGGTGAGACCGGAGGCTTCCCGGAGCTAACCGGGAAGATATGAGATGTATTAGACCCTGGCATCAGTCAGTGCACATGGAGTTCTAGGCCTACTGGGGACCACACGCCAGAACCTGGCCCCCTCAGAGAGGCACAAGGAGCAATCGCCTATAGAAACACCCGTGGTTGAAAGCATTTTATGTCTGCCATTGACAGAGTCAGTCACCCAGAAAGGTAAGCACCCCAAAACAAACCCCTATTCTGGTTAAAATATTGCTACTAAAAGTTGAACTAGTGGATAGAACTCCCCAAATGAAAATGCGCAAGAAGTCATCACGACACTGCGTCTCTCTGCGCAACACCCACCCTACCTCCCTGGGAGGGGGGGAAAGGGGGGATCCCCAGACCCCCACACCGGCTATCCACACCTCGGTTCTCAAACGATGTCAAAATAGTTGAAAAACCTCAGACCAAAGGGAGGGAGTGTTGCCGGGGTGCCTCCGGGTCTCGCCTAGAAAAAGGCGTTTCATTACATTCAACGCTAGTTTTCTGGGGGGGGGGGGGAAGCCCCATCGGCTCCCTGGAGCTACTTACCCAAAGACAAAACAAGAGGGTCTTTCCCGGGAGGTGGTCAGCCCTCGCTACCAAATGCGAAGTCAAGACAACTGGCTGCAACCACCAACCCAATGCGATAAAGGCCCAACTAGGCCAAGGAACATTGACAAGGTAGCGAGCGGCCAGGACCCTCTCTTTGACACGCAGCAGCCATGGCACGCAGGTAGCGGCTAACAGCCACAACTGGACACAACACATGATGCACCCCTGTCCTAACCAACCACGCATCAACAACCCAAGGACCCCTCTGGAAAGAAGCATTCTCAGCAGCATGAAGGTGTCATTCTTCGCCAGAAAAGGAGGAGACGACTGCAAACGAACAAACCTACCACCAGGACCAAGAGCAGAAACCTCTGCGCCGGAAGAGAGCATGAAGCTCCCCGACCAGACCCCAAGAGGCCAAAGCAAACAAGAAAAGACCCTTGGAAAACAATCCTGAACCGAAGATGCCACCACAAACCGAGGAGAAGAGAGAAATAAAAGAGCACCCGGTCCAACAACCAGGACACCTCAGGCAGCGCATGAGCAGGCCGGAGGTGAAACAACAAACAAGACAAACAAACAAACAAGCCAAACAAACAAACAAGACAACAAACAAGACAAGACTTGCGGAACGGCGCAGAAGTAACATCAACGCCGAACGCAAGCTGCAGCGGCTCCACCAGCGTCGCACAACCTTTTGTGGTTCTTTTAGGACTGTCATCTTATGCTGAAAACTGTTGCCTCGTATAGTAATTACCTAAGTGTAGTTACAGGATGAGAGCTACGCTTGTGGTGTCCCGTCATCCCAGCACTCTGTCATATAACGCTTTGAAACTAATGACGGTCTTGGCCTCCACCACCTTCTCACCTAACTTGTTCCAACTTTCTACCACTGTTTGCGAAAGAGAAATATAAGAAAATTCACTTTCGCAAACAGAGTGGTAGATGGTTGGAACAAGTTAGGTGAGAAGGTGGTGGAGGCCAAGACCGTCAGTAGTTTCAAAGCGTTATATGACAAAGTGTGCTGGGAAGACGGGACACCACGAGCGTAGCTCTCTTCCTGTAACTACATTTAGGTACCGTAATTACAATACGAGGCAACAGTTTTCGGCATAAGATGACAGTCCTAAAAGAACCACAAAAGGAAGGACAAGACAACCTTAACAGAGCAGTAAACCTATGAATGGATAAGAAATAATGAAGGACTACCAGGAAACTTCATACTGCCGTCGAGACGAAGCACGTAGGTGGGATACCATCAATGAAGCTACCTGCTCACCATACAAGTGATGGTATACTAGTCAGAAAGACCAGACGCAAAGACGCAAGGAGAAGATCAAACAAGTCACGTAATGAACTGGACTGATCAGCTGAAAGAGGTAGAGCTGCGGGAAGACCCTTGGGTTCGGACACTGAGCAAGCAGCGCCTGAAACCAAGGCTGGGCCGTCCACCAAGGAGCCAAGAGGACTACTCTCCCTCTGCAAGTCTCTTAAGTGAGCCAGGACCTGGAGCAACAGCTGAATCAGGGAAAAAGAGGTACAAGTAACCCCACCTTGACCAAACCTGCCGCAAGATAACGACCCCAACAGCCTCACAGTCAGGGAAGGGCACCACACACAATGGGAGACCCCTCGACCATGCCGATGCGAAGAGGTCCACCTCTGGGAGCCCATACGTCCGGCCAAGCCAACTGAATGAGTCAGCATCGACCATCAATTCCGGGGACAAGGGAATGAACAGAGACAGGCTGTCCGCCAGGATGTTTGAACCCCCCCCCCCCCTCCCTGAACATGAACGGCCAGGAGAGCCAAACCTCGAGAACTCAGCAGACAAGTCACCCAAAGCAACCAGTCCCAAAGAGCCAAGGATTGCATCGAACCCCCTCAATTTAGGCAATGAACCACAGAGGAGCAGTCAGAATGGAGCTGGATCGTCGATCCGTGAGCGAGCCGAACCCTCCGAAACAACATCCACACCGCCACAAACTCCAGCACCATGCTATGGGCCCGACAGAAGTACTGATGCCACCGCCCCTGGCCGGCCCGGTGAGCACTGGTCACAAAGCTCCAGCCAAGAGACAACGTATCCATGAACACATCGAACAAAGGCTCTGAACCCCGGTGATCCTCTAAGGAAGCCGAAGTCATCGGCTTCCTTAGAGGAAGCCGATGACGTAGCAGCCAACACAAGGCACCCAGAGCCCGAATGCAGCGATCGCGAGAGAGGCAAAAGGGACGTCCCCAAATGAACCAGAACAGTTGACAAATCCAAACCCGACCCGACGGGTAGACCATCACGGCAAAGTTCAGGCTCCCACACAAACCCTCGAGCAACTGCCATGTGACCTGGGAGTCCCCCAGAAACAAGCGAAGGTGGTACTGCAGCCGAAGCAGAGCCTCCAGAGGAAGAGACGGGGATGGAGTCTGAGAGTCCCATACAAGACTATGCCAAGACCCAACCTGAGAGGGAACTAGATGGGACTTCCTCCAGGTCATCAGGAACCCGAACATAAGAATAAAAGTAATAGCAGAATGACTATTGGCCCATACAAGGCAGCTCTTCTAAAGGACCGAACCCAGCGAGCTGTGAAAGAGCCAAATTCCTGGTAAGCAGACACGCGGACCGGCTGGGAGCCAACACCAGCTAGGCCAGAACCCGAACACCTAAAAGACAGATGGGCCACCACGAACCAGGTAAGGTGTGTGAAAACGTGAGGTGTCAGATTCAAGCCGAATGGAAGGCAACGAAAGCAGTAACCCTGACGCCCCACAACAAAACCGAGCTAGTTCATGAACCTCGGATGAATCGAGAAATGCCAATATGCGTCCCGGAGTTCCAGGGACGCGCAGTTCCATCCAAGAGCCCGGCTCCAGAAAAAGACACGTGGAACAGAGTAGTCATCCGAAAGGAGAGGCAATATACCCATGGGCTCAGACGGGACAAGTCGAGAATGAACCGGAGGTCAGCACAGTCCTGTTTCGGAACCAGAAACATGCGGGAACCCACCTGAGGGACAGGGTCGTTTCGACCACGCCCAGGCGAACCCACTCCAAGATAACCCAACACAGCGCAGGAAAAAAGAGGCCTGCCCACCAACCCTGAACCCCCTGAATAGGAGGGGGGCCACCCAACACCACAGCAGGCCGCATGAAACTACCCGAAAAGCCCACAAATCGTGGGACCAAGTGTAAGCAAACAGCGCGAGCCTCCCTTGTATTGCCCCGTCAATGGGACGAACCGCAAAAGGACCAACACCCCTTACGTGAACCCGACCTCCACACAGAGCGATCACCACGCTGACCAGACGAAGACGGTTCTGAAGGCTGCACCAGCTCTGAATCTGGCACCACTGGCCTATCATGACAAGGGGAACCCGAGCTCTGGCATGACCTTTTCGGGAAGACTGACCACAGGCCCCCCGGAGAACCAACAAGCCTGACATGTGAAGACAACTGGAAGAAGCTGCCTGCAGATACTGCACTACCGCAGACTCAGTAGACAGCAAAGGACAAAAAGATGAAGAAAACCTAAGAGCCAGGTCACAAGAGGATTCCACAGAGGTAGCAAACACCTTTTTGCCAATGGGAAACAAAAAAAGCGACACCGCGTCCCGGAGAATTGGTGTAATTACCTAATTGTAGTTACAGGATGAGATCTACGCTCGTAGTGTCCCGTCTACCTAGCACTCTGTCATATAACGCTTTGAAATTACTAACGGTTTTGGCCTCCACCACCTTCTCACCTAACTTGTTCCAACTGTCTACCACTCTGTTTACAGAAATGAATTTTCTTATATTTCTCCGGCAGCTTTGTTTCGTTAGTTTAAATCTATGACCTCTTGTTCTTGAAGTTCCGGGTCTCAGGAATTCTTCCCTATCAATTTTATCGATTCCTGTTACTATTTTGAATGTAGTGATCATATTGCCTCTTTTTTCTTCTATCTTCTAGTTTTGGCATATTTAATGCCTCTAACCTCTCCTCGTAGCTCTTGTCCTTCAGTTCTGGGAGCCACTTAGTGGCATGTCATTGCATCATTGCCAGTTTGTTGATGTGCTTCTTAAGATATGGGCACCATACAACTGCTGCATATTCCAGCTTTCGTCAAACAAAAGTTGTGAACAATTTCTTTAGTATTTCTCCATGCATGTATTTAAAAGCAATTCTGAAATTAGAAAGTGTAGCATAGGCTCCTCGCACAATATTCTTAAATTAATGTGGTCCTCAGGTGACAGTTTTCTATCTAGAATCACCCGTAGATCCCTTTCTTTGTCAGAATTCTTTAAAGATTTCTCACATAATTTATAGGTTGTGTGGGGTCTATATTCTCCAATTCCACATTCCATAATATGGAATTTATTCACATTAAA